TGAAGTATAGTTTCATCTCCCTTAATTATAGCAAAACAACTTTTCAAACTCTGCAACTTGCAAATTGAAACTTTTGTTTTCTATAATTAACATTTCTAACTTGCAACCTTCACCATAATTGATTATGCACCCACTAGCATAATAATTATTTCTTTATTAGCATAACTCTTATGCTCCCACTAGCTTTGACATGTATTCAGTTTTCAACTGGAGTTCTAGATATCAACACTTTGTTTTCTTTCTTACCAAAGTTTAGATTTTTGATATGAGATGCTTTGTTAAGATTTTATCTAGGCTTCTCAGTTTCATTTACTTTTCCTTAGATAGCTCACATGCGTGTCTAAACAATTTAAGAACTAATAGTAATAAGTCTCAATTGTTCAGACCTTTTTGCCATTCCTCACAATTCGAACTATGAAGAGGGATACCGTAATCATAATCGAATTTTAGAATGCAAATATCACAATTACTATCTCATTAAAATCTACTTAGTGAAAGTGTTTCCTCACCATCATTTTCATGAATCGAAGAGAAACCTTATGAAACTTAGATTTTATGGTGTATGTATTCCTATCCATGTGAATTTGTCAAAAACCTTAATTAAAAGAAAAGGTTAGTGACAAATTCAAACTCATATGGACTGAACTTGTTCAATCTTAATTTCTTTCCACCAGGCAGCACAAGGTCCTACCATTGCTTCCAAGTTGTTATGCACACAATTGAGAACTCATAGAGATCACATACATAGTCAACTTTAACTTGAATGTGCACAGAAACAAGAATATGTCAACACGATAAGTTACAAACCTCAAGTCATGTGCTAGTGATAAGCAATAGGTTTTATCCTTGATTAGTTCTTGAAACTTTCAAGACCTTTAAGAATCCCACCGTCCTCTTGACATATAAGATTCTCTTGTCAATAACCATTCCTGGACAGACAACTATTCAAGAGTTAGTGCGGATTCTTAACAAGATAAACACTTCACACAGTTGGTCATAGTTGATCTTTATCTTATCCAAGACATCACAACTTACCAATTTCAAATGTACAGGAGTAATACAAATTTTACTCTACATTTGACAAGTGTTATAAACCTTCTTAAGATATGTCACTCAAGTTACAATATTGGAGTATCACTCTAAGATTCGATTTTGGAACGAAATATGATTCACCTTAATTGATTTAAACATTTCAACAATTCATGATTCCTCTTCTTAGCAATAAGAATGCACTAAGATGTCCTTAGAGGATCAATTGTGATATGATTTCCAGTAATCATTAAGATGATCATAAAACACGATACTAAAGTACTCACCCATCTTTTCAGATTGATTTTTTTTTATCTTTCTGCCTAATTTGATTCTTCTCATTCGTTCTGCCATACATTGAAACTTTTCCAATGTTTCAGAATTACACTTAAACTCTTAAGTATAATCATATTTACTAAAGTTTAGTAAATCATGACGAATAGTCTTATTGATCTTTGTGGTGGACCTTGACTAGTGCACAAGAATGTGTACTCAATCCTTTAGTCATTCACTTGAATCACATAAACATGTGATCAAGAAATTAGTCTTAATTTGCCAGAGATGAAAATTCTCATTCATCATGCAATACAACTTGCATGATTCCAAGTTTCTATCCAATTGAAACTTGGGTGATGAGAATCTTTCCTTATTTGGAAAATTCTTGACACTACCACAAGCGAAAGAATCAAATTCATATTGCTAACATAGAAACATCCAAACATCAATTTTTCACAAATGCCATTGTAAGGAGATTTAATATAAAAAAATTATTTATTTATAAAATGCAAAAAAACTATGTATTTATATGTATATTACATATATTCTTTTATGTATTTCTATGTGGTTTTGTTATGTATTATGTGTTTATATGTATTTTTACGTATTTATGTATTTCATAAAGTTTTTTTACATAGATGTTTGCATATTTTAAATGGATATCTATATTTTTTTACTTATTTATGTATATTTTATTTCAAGTCGTCTTCATCATTCATCCAATTCGTACAACTTCTTCGAATATTTCTAGATGGTTTTCCTACAGCCACATATTTTAAGCTTTTCATATTTGCTTATCTTGAAATTAAACATCGAATCACAAAAACTTAAAATAAGTGAGGATGTAGGAAAACCATCTAGACATACTCATAGAAGTTGTGCGAATTATATAAAATGGTGAAGACGACTTGAAGTAAAAAATATATAAATATGTACAAATAATACGGTTATATATTTAAAATACATAAACATCTACATAAAAAACTTAAAAGAATACATAAATACATAAAAATAAATATAAATACATAATATAGAAAAAAACACATAAAAATACACAACATATGTGAAATACTCAAAAATACGTAAAAAAAATAAGTTTATACATTTAAAGTATATAAAAATACATAAGCACATATATAGAAAACTTAAGAAAAATACATAAATACATAAAGATACATAAATATACAATTTGGTCTCATGACTTGTTGAATAGGTAAAAATGGCTAAAGTGAATAAAATACCCGGTTTCTTGGACTTTTATATTCAGAAAGTAAAAAAATTCATGACTTTTCTGTTCAAAAAAATAAATTTTTGACTTTATTAATGTTTTTCCCAAAATATTGGAACTTTTCTGTAGATTTTCCTATATTTTAACCATCTTAATTATTTATTAGTTTTTTTGTCAAAGAAACTTTTCTTTTTAAAGATTTTTCAATCAAAACATCATCAACACAATATGTATCAACCACTTGGAACAATCGTTTCAGAAAGACAAAATTGAAAAAATGGTTGTTTTGGTTGTCAAACTTATGTGATTTTGATCCAAAAATATTTGGTGGTGCATCAATGGCGAAATTTTAGATACTTTGTGTGTTTTTTTTTTTTATCCAAAATCATTAATTTTAATAATATGATTTCTAACTTTTTTAAAATGATAATTTTACTCTCAGATATAATTTTTACAACCAAACTACATGGACCATTTGAACATCTCTTCTTTTTAATGTTATTCAATCATTATACATTAATTCTTTTAATTAACTTTCAATTTCTTTTTATTCGATTAATTTTTTTATTGTATTGATATATATTAATAAATATTATTTTTAATATACAATATTTTTATATTAATAAATATTACTTTATTGGATTATTATTTTCATTTGATTATTTATTTTTTTAATTTCTTTTTTAGTGGATTAATTCTTTTTATTAGATTATTATATATTAATAAATATTACTTTTAATATATATTATTTGTATATTAATAAATTCTTTCAGTTTTTTTATTGGATTAATTCTTTTTATTGGAATATCATATATCAATAAATATTATTTTAAATATTTGGAAGATAACATTATTTGGACCAGACTGTTTGGTTGATTTTTATGTATTATTTTAGCGTGTTTTATTAATCATTTTTATTAGCTTTTTAAAATTAGCCTAAAAAGCTTATTTTGTTGTCATTCTTAAAAAGCTTGTTATCAAGTGCTAAGCAAATAGGATTTATTATTCAATAAGCTCATTAATAAGTCCAATCAATCTAAAAAGTGGCTAAGAAGGTATTGCACAATCACAACTTATAATCATGTTTTTCCAACAATTATACGATTATAATACGAATGTCGATTAGATTATTTTTAGTTTAATAATTTTCAAGTTGAATTAACATATCCGGTTTTGTAGTTAAATCTCCCTTTTTGTATAATTAATTAAAAGATTTGATGTTACATTGTTATTCTTTCTGGCAATTTTAGTTTTTGTTATAACCCAAAGTTTAATTCTTGACCCGATTCATGTTGACTGCTTGAATTGAGGTTAGTTCATTCTCATTATTCGATTTGTAAATTTCGTAAATGTTTTATTAACGGATGTTAAGTGACACACATCGAATTGGTTTCTTTGATGGGATTAACTTCGGTGTAAACATAAATGGCACGTTTTCATACTTCTGAGCTTGTGAGAAGGACTCGAAACCATACCGTATTACTTTTATTTCTAGTATTTATTGTAACATCTCAAAATTTTTGAGTAAAAATTCATTTTTAAATAACCCAAAACATTCATTCAATTGTTCAAAAAATAACCACAATGTAATGTATTCTCAAACATCAGAGCAAATCATAAAAAGACAATCTAGAATAAAACTCTAGGGGATGTAGTGTGATCAAGTTGGGACCTTCCCTTTTGAACCCCAAGTACATGAAACATTTAAAAAGAAAAATCGGAAGCACAAAACTTAGTGAGTTCCCCAAAAATACCACATACTATATGATGCGACCTTGCTCTGGATTCGTCCGTGAACTTCTCTCGATCGTCTAACTAATACTGCAAGATCATAAGAAAAGAGGCCGTCAACCGCTTTCTGGGAGGAGCTCCCGGAAGAACGCTCCGACGGTCAAGTTAAAGGGTATTCTAGGGTTTGTGTGCGTATTCTCTCCAGAGAGCTTAGAGAACTTACCTCGCAGGTCTAAGGGCACATCCTTTTATACCTAGCGCTTCTACCTGAGCCGTACCAAACATAATCACTTTTGGGGAGACAAGATCAGAGGCGCTGATTGGAGAGTCATGCGCCTTCAACCGTTAGAGCGCTCTCATTGGCTCAGACGATAATTCTCTGATCCTATTGCTTGTTTCCTGATCGTATCTTTTGTCCTAGAGTCAGGAACGTATCTTGGCGGGCGCGAGCCTTTCGCCTGCGCTTCACTCCCGGGGATGCCAGCGGGCGCTGAGCCTGCTGGGCTGAGCTTAGTTGGCGTGCCCGGCTCTTGGGCAAGATGCGGTTCTGCTGTGCTGCCCTAGGTACGCCATCAAGTCCCCCAGTCCAGTAGTCGTAGCGTTGCAGCGCTAGTTACGGCGTTCTGGGCTTAACTATCTGACGCGTGTCATTTTTTCTTTATCCACCACTCCGCTTTTAATGGCGATGTGACTGCAAGATATGACTGGTAGTTACGTTATTGTGCCCGACATTTAAATGTCCCGCCTCCTCCACTTCCTTATTAAGGGTCTCTGCATATTTTCTCTTGCCTTATCTGCTCTTTTTTTTCCTTTTTGCGTTCATCTTCTATTTTCGTTCATGGTAAACCTTCCCGGAATCGTTCCATCCGCCACCGAGTATCGTCGGTTGGTGATTTCTTATGGTTTGTCTTCTTTGGAGGGTGTAGAGTTTCCCTCTCCTGGTTCCATTATCTCCTCCCCTGGTAAGATTGGGGTTTATCTGAAAACCCAAGACGTTGGTATACGCTTTCCACTGATGGATTTCCAGGAGGAGGTCCTTCAGAAAGATGGCTGTAGCCTCTAGATGTTGACCCCCAACACAGTTAACAAAGTGGTTGCATTTGAAATGATCTGTCGGGCCAAAGGATATCTTCCGGATTACTTCGTCTTCAAGTTTTTCTTCCGTTTCTGTGTTACCGGAGATAAGTGCACTTTCTTGGTTCGTCGAGGGGGCACGTTTTAGTCCCCCGACGGGCGTACCCCCAAAATAGGCAAGATAAATGGTTGTGGGTGAATCAGGAGCTGGTTGGGAGTGATCGCTATCGTGCAAACGTTTTTGCCGATACCGACCCTAAACTCTTTCCCCATAACCAAGGTGTCGCCGACTACTTGAAGGGTGTGAAGGTATTCGCCGAAGATTACTCCGAGGTGCTTCTTTCTGACCACTAGGGTCGGAATAACAATCATCTTACTAGTCATCACCGAAATAATGGTAATGATATACTTGAATAAAATGGAATCAACTACTAGCTTCTTGGTAACCTTGCGACTTTCCTTGATCTAAGTGCGAGTCCTACTCATACTCGTCCCAAGTATTGTCTCGCAGTCAACTAAGTCACCCTACATAAATCATATAATCATTCAACACATCAGATAACAAAACCAGGGTTTATATTATTTCTTGAAACGATTACACAAAGGTTCAAGATCACCCAATACTATGCCTTTAATAGGCTATACTTCATGATACAGACTTTAAATATTGAGATGAAGTCTTCATCTTTTAATCCTCCCTTCATTTTCTGCTTCATCAAGGATTATGTGGAAAGCTTTTGGCTTTGGCAGTGCCTCTAGCCTTACTGCTTGATTTTTCCTTGGGCATTCTTGCTTGAAGTGCCCCTCTTTGTTACATTCGTAACATACTTTTTTTGTTGAATATACATTCATCGGCATAGTGCCCATGCTTTCCACACTTGAAACATGTCACCTTTATGCCTCATTTTCCCGAGTGCTTCTTCTTGCACTTATCGCACCACCTTGCTTCATCTCTTCCTCCTCCTCCAAACTTCAAAAATTTTCTTTTCTCATTAGAACCTGAAGTTCCTTCCAACTTTCTCTTCTCGCCAACTTCAACCTTGATGGCGGTCCTCCCCTTGATCATATTCTCAACAAACTTGGCAGCCCAAATAGCTGCCTCTAGCATAGGTGCCTGACGTACTGGCACCACATACTCCCATGGAAGTCCTTTAGCGTACTTGTCGATTTTAGTCAGCTCATCTGGGACAAGACGCAGGGCAAACTCCATCTTATCTGTGAAGTTATTGGTGTATTCATCAACTGACATGCTGTCTTTAGTCAATGTTAGGAAGTTGTTCTCCAACTCTAGTAGATTTGAGCCGAACAAAACTTGCGCTTGAACTGCACCAAGAATTTTGCCTAAGACAATTACAGGGGATCGTTGGGGCTTAGGGTCTTCCCAAGAGTGTTCCACCAACGAACAGCTCCACCTATAAATTGACGCATTACAAAGGTAGTCTGCAACTTGCTCTGCAACCACACATCATAAAGGCCAATTCCATCTCCGAGATCCAATCCATGACTCCGATCGGATCCTCCTTTCCAGTGAAGGTCGATGGTTTGCAAGTCAAAAAGTCCTTGTACTTGCATCCTATTCCATCATTTCCTCCATCTTGGTTGTTTCGTCTAACTATCGGTGGGTTGGCTTGACCAACAGTTGCACTGAAGTTTCCTCAATCCGAGTGCCCTCGATTCACTTCGGGCTCTTCAACTTGTATTGAAAGTTCTTCACGATTCTGCCAAAGCAAACGTCTAGTTTCTTCCATCTAATGATCCAACATCGTTTGAATCATCGATTGTACCCCAGCCATTATCATCGGCTCAGGTGGTGCTGCTGAAACCACTACTTGCTCAATCACAGGTGGTTGATTCCTGTTTTCGTTCAAGTTTCCAGCTCCACTCCTGGTTCTTGCCATTTTTTTATCTATACACCGAATAATGTGATTTTAGATCTTCATTCATGGTAGATATTCAAATCATCCTTATCACTCTGAAACATTTACATGCTAGTTCTAATATCGTAGACGCATGCTTAGAATCCTAAACACATAAGGTTTCTCGATCTGGTCGTCAACAGACCATAGATTCAAACAAATAATATCATATAAGGCAATATATAACATTTAGCACATAAAAGAATTTTAGACAACTTTCCTAAAATAAACTAGTGATCGTGTCTAAAATATAACATACACACATCTCACAATCTTCACTTAGCATTCTAAGTTTAAGTCTACAAAACCTACAATTTCCTAGTTCGCTTAAACTAATGCTCTGATACCAACTACGACATCCCCAACTTTACGGCCAGAAAAGACCGATTTGTTTATGCTTTGTTTTTATAATCTGAGTAATCGTTTAAAGAAAATTATTGCGGAATTTGTTCTCAAAACAAAATATGATAAGAATTTATCAAAACGTTTCTCAAAGAGAATGTATTTTCATTATATAACAAAATTTCGGGATGTCATGTTCCGATACAGACAAATAAGCATAAACAGAACTTACATTTATTTACACTAATGATTTACATCTCCTTTAATCTCTTAGTGAAATATGTCTTCGTATTGATACCTGTGATACAAAGAAAACTGAGTGGGTCAGGCTTGGGAGCGTGGTGAGCATATAGAGTTTTCGACCCACAATAATATAATTATTATATTTAACCATCAAACAATCAACCCAATTACTCATCCCCATTATCTTCTTTATTTCTCAAGATTTTACCCTAAGAATTCAACTATCCTTTATTCATTCATTCCTAAGGATTGACCTAAGGAATTGGCACAAAATCCATTACTACATAAGGCGCATCTACCAACATCATCCTTTAAGCGCCTCTGCCAGGATTACGTTATACACTATGAGGCGCGCCTTCTAGGTTAAATGACATTCTCTTTTAAGCGCATTTACCGACATTATCCTATACACGCATCTGCTACTATTATGACATTCTCTATTTAGTAGATCTACCAATATTAATCTTAAGTGCATCTGCTAGTATTATGACATTCTCTAATTAGTGCATCTGCCAATTTCATTCCTAATCATCTTTCATACCTCATCATTTACCTCACCATTTTATCACATACTAACTATCTCATCTACCCATGTTCTACCCAACATATTTGTAGATATAAAATACATATACAATTTAACTCATTTAAAAACTATATAAAACATCCATTCCACACTCATCTCAAACAAACAACAATATATAAACACATATCATGTATTTCATAGCAAATACTTCATATTTATGTGTCAAAAGAGAGTGACTACACACTCACCCAAAACATATACTTAATACATTCAGACAATACTTGTAGTAAAATTGTGTTTATGAAAGGGACTATACACTCACTTCAAATAAAGAACAATATATATACACATAACATGTATTTCAAAGAAAATACTTCATATTTATGTGTTAGAAGAAAATAACCACACACTCACTTGATCAGAAGATGATCGGACAACGCTACGGCTTGTAGAAGTAGTATTTTTCGGTGAAACCGGGAGATCTTCACAAAAATCGGGCTTCTCGCGGGCAGAGCTTCGGCTCGGAAATGTAACTTCTTGGGATATTCAAGGCTTCGGTACTTGCTTCGGGGCTCGGGAATGATACCGGGGCTTCGAGGTATTTCTTGCACGAAAATCGAGGCAAAACATGAGAGAGAGAGAGAGAAGAGAAATTAGCAAAGCAACTCGACTGGCCTCGGAAGGTATTTATAAGGGCTGAAATTGGGATTACACTGGGCGTAATTCTCCAGTTACGCTGTATTTAAATTAAATATTTTAATTATTTAATAAATTTCAAAAATTCATATCTTCTTCATACGAGCTCCGTTTTCGACATTCTTTATATCCCCCGCGTAGGTGAGACTATGCTCTACAACTTTCGTTTAGACTCCGTCGGCTAATTTTGAATTTATTTTTATTATTTATTTTTAGTAGGCCGGGACAGGAAAACTCCGTTATAAATTCATAACTTCTTCAACCGACGTCCGTTTTCATCTGTTTTTTTTTATCATTGCACTACTAATAAAGAGGTATTCGATTCTCATTTAGATTTCTTCGACCAAAAATCATTCGATCTCAAATTCGAGTTTCGAGCTGCATACTGTTAAGCTGAAACTTAGAAAAATCATAACTTCCTCATACAAAGTCAGATTTGGACGTTCTTTTTATGCACGCTCTTGGTTTAACATATTCTATGACTTTCATTTAGATCGTTGAGGCCAAATCTATCTCTATCGTAAATTCACTATTTACATCGCGCTGTGTCGTACCGGTTCTGTCGCGAAACTTCGATAAGTCATAACTTCTTTGTTATAACTCATATTTCAGCGTTCTTTATATGTATGGAATCCTTGTAACATATACTAAGACTTAGTTAAGATTATTCCTTCAAAATAATCTTCCATTAAAAAGTTATTTTTGATGCTTATTGTCCTTAAATTGACTAGCCCTAATCTACGGGCGTTACAAACACTAAACACGAGAGAATTAGTTATCTTTTGATCCTATGGATAATAGCATGGGCTTGTAATCCATGATCAAAATCAACTTCTCCATGTTTCAGTTGTTTCACCTTAAATATATATTGGTCATGTATACTTTCATCATCCTTTTCTTGTTATGCAAACAAATAGATATCATAACATGTCTCGGAATAAGACTTTCGTTGTCCTTGGTATTTGGTTCTAGATTAGGTATATCTATACTAATTTCATTTTAACCCATGGGCAATTGGCTTTCTTCTAATTGAAATTTTTATTCATGAGAATATATTTATGGGATTGTTTTGAAGTTTGAATTTTTATGATCGACGATGTTAGTTTCAAAAGGAAACCTCAACATGCTACACAACTCCTTTCATGGAAATTCAAATTTATTCATATCAAAATTAGAGTGAACTGATTATATGTAGATGTCAAGTAGTTAAATAACACTAGTTAACTCCTAACTCAAGTAAATTCCATTTTACTTCAATATGTCAGTTTA